TATATATATATATATTATTTAGTTGAATAGCTCTATCTCTGATATTGAGCGCACTTTAAGTACCATGCATATAATATATAAATAATAATACATATATATTCGTTTATATTTATATACACTTTTCATATATATATATATATATATATATATATATGTGTGTGTGTCTATATATATATATATATATATATATATATATATATATATATTGTACTTCCCCACCTATCCCTGCTGACACCTTGATTCTCCTTTGTATTTTCCCCACTCCTTTCTTCAATAATGTAAATCCCCGGGAAAATTTTTCTCGGTCAAGTAATTTAGACATTTACTTCTTGTTTTCATGTGATTTAATTTTTTTGAAAATAATTTTGTTTAGATAAATTTAAACCATTTTGTAATTTCGATGATGCGTTAAGTTTTCTCTTCTTGATATATATATATATATATATATATATATATATATATATATATTTAGAAAATGTCGTATATTGAGGTCTGGTGCTAATAAAATAGTACTTGTTGCATAATTTATACTAATAATAACTATTTTTCTTATCTGAGTTTCATGCACAACACAATCGTCAGGTGCTGGTTAAAATCTGACGGTCAATTTTGCTACAGGTGTCGAAAAAATGTATATTTATCATTATTAATATATATATATATATATATATATATATATATATATATATATATATAATTCTATGAAAAACAGGAAACTTTAAAGGTCCATTGGTTATAATTTATTTCCACAGAGAATTTCTTTTCCTGGCTCATCAGACCACACTTCCAAGGGGTGAAAATGAATTTAAATTAAATTAATTTTAATTTAATGTAAATTAAATTTTATATATATATATATATATATATATATATATATATGCCAATGTGGAAAAAGTTTACGTGTGAGGTGCTTCGTTCCTTAGGATGTTATTGGAAAACTTTTTTTTACTTCGTCATATATCTTTCCACCAAAACTGTTCTTGATATATAAAAAATTATATATTGTCATCCCTTATATATATATATATATATATATATGTGTGTGTGTGTGTGTGTGTGTGTGTGTGTGTGTGTGTGTGTGTGTGTGTGTGTGTATATATAATTATTTATTTAAAAATATGATTCCAACACGCTATTTTTAAATAAATAATTATATTTATGCTCTACTTTTGTATCGAGCACTATTTTTTAAAAATAATAACAAAAATACTAAAGAACTTTGGATTATTTACCTAACGAGTTCTTTCCTATTTTATATATATTTTTTCACACACACACACACACACACACACACACACACACACACATATATATATATATATATATATAGGCTTGTGTATGTGTGAGTGTAACCCAATATTAAAAACAAGGGCGGATGAAACTTCATGTAATGTCAACGTCTTTTTGACACAGTAGATTAGACTTGACTCCATATCTAAATATACAGCCAGTGTGATGATGACATCGGGAGTGGGGGCTACGTAAAGTGGGCGAAGGGTCCCCTCGATAGGATCAATGGCCACTAAGGCGGGCCTTCTAGTTTGTCATTGGCAGTCAGTTGTCTTTGCAAAGGGATGGACTCCGCCAGGTCTACTTGCTCAAGAAAAGCAACGCACAAATGGCTATTTCTCCAACTTTCAACGCTGGAATATGTGGTTGGAACTGGTCAGTTGCTTAGCTGCACAACGATCCTATGACCACACTCGGTTATGGGAATAATGATGATGGTGATAGTGATTATGATGGTGGTGATGATGATGGCGATGATGATGATGATGATGATGATGATGATAATTATGGTGATGATGATTATGATGATAATCATGATGATGGTGATAATAATGAGGATGATGATGAAGGTGATGATGGTGGTGGTGGTGGTGATGATAATAATGATGATGGTGTCGGTGATGATGATAAAAAGTAGAAAAAAAATGAAAAAATTAAGATGTAGAAAAAACTGATAATGGAGTCTTTCCAACGCGTTTGAAAACTGAACATGATGTCGGGGGATAGATTTATATCGTCTTTTTGCTCTTGCCCCTTGAGAAATGGTCAGACTTGTTGTCACTTGATCTTCATATATTTTGGCAGTAAGAATATACAACCACCGATAATAACACTAATAGATCTCTTGGAATTCGGACGGTTATATACTTCATTGTTTGTTCGCTGATTGATTTTTGCGTTACTTTTAATATCAACTGATATAATATTAAACAGGCCGGAAGGTGTGTTCAGTCCGGTCTGTAAATAATACATGCGACATGATGACAGAAACGGCTTCATACATTGGCGAACTTTATCATACGTATCATGGGCTTCGACGTGCCAATCCCAGCTTGGCAAAAATAACTCTAGCCGGTCTTATCCCAGTTACAGCATCACTTGGTTGACATTTAGATTCTAGCCAAGAGGGGGATCGTGTTGACTAGTGCCAAAGGCTGGCGACGTGTGGGCCATGTGGACAATTAGCATATTGCTGCCGATGAGGTAAGGTAGAGGTTACGCCCTAGAATGCTTTTTTTGGCCAGAATGTCTATTGACCGCTGAAGGGCTTTATAGGAATGTCCATCCGCAGATTGGTCCTTTGGGAGGAAAAAAAAAATGAGAGAAAAGAGGAGAGCAAAAATAATGGATGATTGTGCGGCGTTGGAAATGCTATGGAGACAGTCGAAGCGTTGATTGTTCGGTGCAAAGGATTTTGTATAAGTCGGTGAGTAATTATAGTTTAAAAGAGAAACAAAGGCAGTAGCTACCTCTTCTAATCATCATCATCATCATCACAATTATCCTCATCACCAACATCTTCATCACTTCTATCACCAGCACCATCATCATCATCACCACCATCATCACCATCATCATCACCACCACCAACATCACCATTATCGTCAACATTATCACCATCATCATCATCATCACCACCATCATCATCATCATCATCATCACCACCATCATTATTCTCATCATTATCACCATCATCATCATCACCACCACCACCACCATCACCATTATCCTCATCATTATCACTATCATCCTCATCATCACCACCACCATCATCATCATCACCACCACCAACATTACCATTATCCTCAACATTATCACCATCATCATCATCATCATCACCACCATCATCACCATCATCATCATCACCACCCTCATCATCATTATTCTCATCATTATCACCATCATCCTTATCATCATCACCACCATCACCACCATCATCATCATCACCACCACCACCATCACCATTATCCTCATCATTATCGCCATCCTCCTCCTCCTCCTCCTCCTCCTCCTCCTCATCATCATCATCATTTTTTAAATCATTAACCCTGCGGTTTTACGCCCCATGGCCCTCCACAATTTCCTGCTCTTTGTAGCTCTTAATAAATTTTGTCAATTTTTTATTATTCCGAAACCTTGTTCCGACATTCATTTACTAAAGCTCATCAAGCATGTCATGCGTTGTTTTCATCCGTCCTTCTTGTCTTCAATCTGTCTTGTGAGTATCAGATTTTCCAAGCCCCCCTTCCTTATAATTTCGACTGCCTCTTCCTGATGTTAAGTATAAGTGTACTTTTTGTTTCCATTTTCTCGAAAACCTTCTCGTTGCCCACATGTTCAGTAAATGGCGTCCTCAGCATCCTTCCGTAACCATATTTCTTTTGCTTCAAGTCTCTTTGAGATTGTACTGGAAAAGATTTCTCGAATATTCAGGTAGATAGATATAAGAATATATATATATATTGTTTAATAAATAAATAAAAACAGAGTATCTATTCAAATACGAGTATTATGGGTGGTTATTCACATCATAGCGGCAGAAATTAGCTTTGTGTTCACGAAGATAAAAGCATACATGACAGTAAATAAAACGTACAGAAATAACAAGAAAAGCATGGTAAATTGTATTTCATAAAATTTATTTATATTTTTGTGCGTATTGGTGTGTGTACTTTTTAGGTTACAGTTGTTTTACGCTACAAGTGATAAAAGGGAAAATTTATTCCGTAGTATTAAAAGCCACTGAACACTAGTTGAAAATCACGGCTCTAACCATTCCAACAATATATATATATATAATTGTGTATTGCGGCAGCAATCCCTCTTTTATACAAGTTTCATTAACAACGTCTGACAAAGTACTGCGATTAAGCTTTTTATTTAATTTTTCTTGTCTTCCGTATAAGTGTTTTTCTTTTCTGAACAAAAAAAAATTGGCTTTGCGCTTTCGGTTATTCTTTTAATCATGATTTTGATTTTTAATTGAATGTATGAATTTTTATGCATGTATTTAGAGTTATAGGAATGTTTTACTTTCCAATCACAGTCAGCATATTCTGACCGTGTTCATAGTTGATGTTATTGAGTGCTGGCTTATTATTTTTTATCATTAGTGCTCCAATTATTTTTATTAGTCATTTTTACATGTGGATGAGGCTATTATACTTGTATTTTCTACATGTTGCGGATGGAATTATATATATATATATATATATATATATATATATATATATATATATATATATATATATAAACCGAAAGAATATTAATCCACAACCCAGCGTGTCTGTAGATTTTAATTTTTAATATTTTTTATTGTTCAAAATATATATATATATAATCATATTTTGGTAGATGTGATATATATATATATATATATATATATATATATATATATATATATATATATATATATATATCTATATATATACATATATATCACATCTACCAAAATATGATTATTTTCTTTTAAAGCGTGGACAATCATGGGTCTCCACAATTTCCCGTCCTTTGATTGATTCTACGGCTTATAGAATACATCTTTGCGGGTTGTTTAAAGTTTAAAGCCAGAAAATCTTTTTACTAATTAACGTATTCATAACTTTCCCAATTATATTTGCACGCAAGCGAATATAACAAACCCAATGAGAATTGGAACTCGGCTCTCCGATTAACAATTCTGAACCATTATCCATTACAACACCGCACATCCATGGTATTCCCAAGTGTTCACTCATCTAGGTTCTGACCAGGCGCTACGTTGCTTAACTTAGGTGATCGTACGGGATACGGTGTTTCAACATAATGTGATCGTAAGCATCTTGTCCTTTGTTGCTGAGTACGTATCGTCTTTTTGCTATCTCTCCTAATCCTTGTTCTGCCAACGCTTTTCACAAGTGCGGGTTTCCTCTGCTTATCTTGTCTTCAGTGTGCTCTTTGCGTGTCAAATTTTCCAAGCCCTCCTACCTCATGAAGCGTCCTAGAAATGTTCTGTGTCAGTGTCTCTTTTGTTTCCATCCAGCACTTTCTTTGTAAAGAAAAATTCAGAATACTTAAAGTAATCATTTTGCAGAAAAATAATAAATAACTTATTTTCAAAATGAGTTATTCCAAAATTCGCTTGAAAATGAAACAGAACTAGGACCTTTAATTTAATTAATTAATATATATATATATATATATATATGTGTGTGTGTGTGTGTGTGTGTGTGTGTGTGTGTGTGTGTGTGTGTGAACTGAGGTCAAATATGGATTAGACTCAAAATGAGTTATAGGATAAGGAACAAACAAGAAACGTTTATAAATTTAGCATGTTTCGCTTTTTATTTATGCTTCATCAGAAAATGGAATAAAGGAGAGAAATATATAATGGCAAGAAATGTTTTGAATACATCTTGGTGAAGCTTTTTAATGAAAAAATAGCGTCCTTACAACGAAATATGGAAGAAATAGTATCATACTTTGGGGTTGTTGTTCTAGCGGGAAGCATAATAAAAACTAATGTCGTTCGTTATCGCCACTTAATTTCACTAAAACGTCTTTATGTGGCGCTGTGTATTTCTCTTCTTAAGCAGCGATCGTTTGTATAATATTTGTGTTTACAATTCTAGTTGGTCTATGCAGGATTTGGTTAAAATCTGTCTGTGTGCGTGCATTTGAGCGTCTAGTGGGTATTTTTATTTATGTCTTGTAGTATTCGTATGTTAACTGAGGGATGTTTGTGTGGGGGTGAAAAAATTACGTTGCACCGGTTGTGGTTGTGTCTAATCTAATCTTACATTCTTTAACTTGAGTCTATTTATATTTTAAAGGAAAGGAAATAAAGAAGCCGTTCGTAACTGGGTGATCTAAAAGTGCGACTGCGAAGTACGATAACAAAAACAGTTAGCATAGGACATGCGGTTACTATTGCATACCCCCTCGTGCTGGAGCAGGTCTTGGGCGACGGCTTCAATTCCAGAATAAAGTTGTAGTCTTCTTTCACGGCCAGTGATCGCTAGTTGTTTGGGTTCGGAGATAAAAGAAATCAACAAAAGGAATTTAACTTAGATAGTTTATTAACATCGACGTATACATCTCTAACTAGCCAGTGGGGTCGCTTTTTCACCCTACTGGGAAATCGCTTCCAGACACGAAGTAAACACGTCTACATTGTATGATGATTTAGACTCGACTCTCTGAAAACCCGTTCTCTATCTATCATTCTCATGTTGGCTCAACTAATCATAATCGGCTTCCTTGTTTTGTCTTCCTTCTGACCTCAAAGGTCAACCTAAGGAAGTCGGAGCAGCGATATACTTCCCCCTAAAAATAATGGTCTGATAAAATATTATTTAACATTACAGCTAGGCATTTGAACTGTAAAATGATGAGACCTAGCCAATCTAGTATTGCACTAAAATTCATAGTCTAGATATCCTAGAGGAAAACTTAGAACAATCAACGTGAACATATTTATGGAAAAGGCAGATGTAAGCCATATTACGGCGATGGGAAAACGACTGAAACCAAGGTGCAAGGTCAGGACCGATAACATTGCAGATTCTTCATTAGGTTTTATCAAGAATCGAGAAGACTAACTTTTCTTGCGGACATGTATATGTATATATATGACTGTCGTTTCAAGTTACTTCTTCATCTGCAAGGAAATTGTTCAGTATTAACTACCATATAACAGATATGATATCGCATAGCAGTACAGAAATTCCACCTCGTGAAACATAATCCCGCCTGGTTGCTTTCCTGAACTACACAATCTTGATCTCTTCGAGTCAAGAGTCAATCTTTATCTTTCTTCTTTGTCCTAATAATTTTCATTTCGTAAAACTTTCTCTTCTATACAGTGTTACTATTTTGTTAATTGTAAATGTCTACCTCGAGTGTCTCTCTCGAACATTTTATTCGTTAAAATTTTAGTATCTCTCTCTCTCTCTCTCTATATATATATATATATATATATATATATATATATATATATATATATATGTGTGTGTGTGTGTGTGTGTATATATATATCATAAAATATACTTTTATGGTATGTTATATTAAAGTGTCAAATATCAGAGAAATATCAGAGGGTATGTAAATATAAAAGGAGACATTGACGTAAATACACAGCAGCGACAGTCTGTTTCATGCTCAAACGCAATCGTCAGGTGTTTAAGCAGGGTATTAACTTTGGATTTATTACCTGTACTATATACTAATATATATATATATATATATATATATATATATATATATATATATATATATATATTATGAAATGGACAAAGTCCGACAGTTATTTAAGATATTTTTATGTTTATTTGTTCTTTTTATATATACAAATATTTAAGTAAATGCTCTGCTTTATAATAAACAGTATTAACAACATTTACCGACCTGAATGTCCGAGAAATTTTCATAGATATGAATGAATGAGAGAAAATCGTGGAGAATTGTGTTTAAAAACAGTAAAATCAACCTTGCTAACCGAACGCTCCTCTGTGGCCCAATCGATTAAGGCACGTCAGGCTATGTTATGGTTCCGTATAGGATAGAGGTTCGATTCCTATCGGAGGATGCATATTTTCTATGAAAATTTCTCGGACATTCAGTCCGGTAAATGTTGTTAATACTGTTTATTATAAAACAGAGCATTTACTTAAATATTTATATCTATTAAAAGAACGTATAATCATGTGTTGACAGATGATAAAAAATGGTATGAAACGTGAAGAAACCGTAAAAATGATAAAAAAAATACAATAATGCCTAAAGAGAAAAAAAAATTGCAAAATTATTTACAGGGCGACTTACGACCAGATCGATTTATCACCTGTCGTGTGTACTATCGTGAATAAACAAACAGGGCCGTAAGTCTACGACGACATATATATATATATATATATATATATATATATATATATATATATATATATATAGAGAGAGAGAGAGAGAGAGAGAGAGAGGGAGGCTCGGTGGAGTAATGGATAGCGGCTTGGATTGAGGAATCGCAGAGTCGATTTCCAGTCGAATCCATTACATTCACTTACGTGCTATTACCCTTGGGAAAGGTATGAATCCTCTTCCTCTCCCTCCAGCTATGGGTAAAATAGCAGGACAGACTGGGTTCTGTAGTCTTGGATGGCAACTGGTCTAGGAGAAGGACAACTCTGAATTCAAAACCTGCGGAGGGTCGTTTGGGAACCTTGTGGCATTCGGTGCACCAGGTCTCTGTATTCGTCCCTTCAAAAATTGTGGATGGTCCTGCATGAGGCCTTCACCACTATAATCAAATCTCATGTGCCGGTGTCGAGCTGTCGGTTTCCTGGAAACTGATCTGCTTGACCCTCATACGTCGAATCTCGACGGGAGAGTCGATTATTATGTATGTGTGTGTGTGTGTGTGTGTGTGCAGAAATAGGGATGGCAGATCAAAAAGCCCAGCACTACTAATTTTTTTCTTACGAGTTAGGCTTTCTTATTTTTATAGTAGCCATTCCCTCATGAAAAAAGTCACAATAGATATTCATAATTTAGTATCTATCTATTTATCTATGTGCGTGTATACATATATCCATACGTGTGTAGGAGGCACGGTGGAGTAGTGGATAGCTGCTGGGATTGAGGAATTGGAGACCCGAGTTCAAATTCCAGTTGAATCCATTACATTCATACCTTGGGAAAGGTATGAATCCTCTTCTACTCCCCCCAGCTACGGGTAAATAGTAGGACAGACCGTGTTCTATAGCAGAAAGAAATGGCAACCTAGTGCAGGAAAAATCTGCCTCGTCAGTCATATATCAAACGCTATATGATCACCTAAGTGTGTATGACACATAACTGACTGGCTGTGTAGATGTATTTATATTTGCATGTACATGTATGAGTACGTGTATATGTATATATGTACGTGTACATATGTTTATGTATGTATATATATATATGTGTATCTGTATATATATATATATATGTGTGTGTGTGTGTGTGTGTGTGTGTGTGTGTGTGCATATGTATGTATGTCCGTGAATCTTTGCTATCGATGAAAATTTTTTGTTAACTATACATTTTTCTGTGTCCCAACAAAAACTTAACTAAAAGGCCTCAACTAAAGGCCTCAGCTAAAGAGTATTTTTACTCCTTTTTCGAATTTGAATTGATTTACAAATATTCGTAAATACAAAATGATTTATTTATCAGGCATGAGACCTTTTTTCCTTTATTTTTATCTTATTATTGTTTGGAATTTGGACGTTCAGATTTGTTATATAAAAAAAATGGACGACCAAATTTCTTACAACATCGCCTGGGTTATATCGAAATATCGCATAAGAGATAAAATAACGAACATTAATAAACATAAAAAATTTAAAACAAATTAAAAGAAAATCAAGTCGTCTCTGGTTGATGGATGAATTCCCAGGATGCAAAAGCGCGCCAATTGTCATAATGGTTTCACTTAGCATAGAAGTCCTCACTCTTGTTGTTTTTGCGACTGTCATTTTAATTTATTTCACAATAAACACCATTTCTAATGTCAACAACTATCTATTTAATTTGCCACAAAACCACGGCTATAAATAATCATTATCCACTACGACAATATCATGTTCATTCTAATAGGTTGTATCAGTATTAAGTTTGTTTTTATCCAGGTCTTTATTTTACAGCTGATTTCATGTACACACTTAATGACCATGTAAGATGCCACTATATTATGAATATAATTGCATGTTTTTTTATTTTTATTTTATGCAATGATGCCAGCTGTTTGCAAGTCCCAACAGCTACTCAAGGTAGAGGGTTACAGAGTAAGAGGCAAGGGTATGTGTGTGGAAGATAACGATTGACCCTAGACTTGAACAGAGCTTATTTTAGTGATTGGGGAAACATCCTCTTCGGAGTCGGTTCCACAAAGCAACGGTTCGTGAGAAGCTGCTGCTCGAGTGGAACTTACATCTCCCCAAATGGAATACGAAGGGAAGGATAGTGGTACGCTACAATGGGCGTGGCATGTCGTGTCCTAGCCATGAAGATTAGAGCTGGTGGAACTAAGGAATATAGTCTGAGCACTTTCCATGGAAATAGCGATATAGCAGCAAGAGGCATGCAACATTTTGTCTGTAGGAAAGGAGTTGCTGGGTGGAAATTAACTCATCACCCAGAAAAACACGGAGATGCTTTTGGATTCTATCGAGATTGGAAAGCGGGGACTGAGTAGCTGCTGCCCATATACGTTAACAGTACTTCATTTTGGGGCCTGAGAGTATTGATAGCAGACACGGAAAAGAAATTAGAAAATCTCCTACAGAAGGTAGCGCCGGAGAGTGTGAAGAAAGGACTAAGCATAAACTACAAGAAAACAGAATGCATGGTCATCAGTAAAAGGATGAGACCCGAAATGCGATTTTGCAGGTCGGGAACACTAGAATCAAGCAGACGTTTAAATATCTGGGAAGCGTTTTAACAGAGTAGGGTAAGTGCGACAATGAGATCTGTAGACGTATTGGGATGGCCAAGGACGCATTCCAAAAGCTGGGCAGAGTATTGCGGGACAGGAGGTTTTTATTGGTAACAAAGAAAAGAATACTGAGCTGTTACGTAGCATATGTCCTTCTTTACGGCAGTTAAATTTGGACGATTTCCTCAAGGATGAATAAGAGACTCAAGGCGATAGAGATGTAGTGATTCTACAGAAGGATGCTAAGGATATCATGGACCGAGCGTGTGAGGAACGATGGGGTTTTTAAAGAGGATGCAAACATGGAGGAGGCTTATGCTTAACATCAGGAAGAGGCATCTGAAGTTTCTGGGATACGTAATGAGGAAAACGGGCCTGGAGAAACTGATACTCACGGGTCGAATAGAGGGAAAGAGCGACAAGGGAAAACAAAGCATGACATACCTAGCGGGCTTAAAGCAAGTGGATGACAGAACGTGATCTGGGGAAGGAGGCAGAGGGAAGGAACTTATTGAGAGCTGCAAGGGATAGAGGGGGTGGGGAGCTATGATCGCCTACGTCCTGAAAGGACACGGCACATAAAAAGAAAAAAAGAGGACAGCAGCAGGAGCCAGGTACTTACTGAAGTGGTACAGAGTACCGACTATTTTTCCAGTATCTTTCGTGGCGAATCGTATGCAGTGATTATAACAAACGTATTTTTACAGACATTTAATCAAAATCTTATTTCATGGATAAATCTAAAAGTGTTGTGGATTCCGGGATGAAATCCGGTCTCAAATGAATGACAAACGCAGGAATGAAATATAACAAATAAATGTATTGACGTAATAATACAATTGGTAATACGGTTAGTACATCCAGAAATGCGGTTAGTAGCAATAATAATATATATACAGTCTGGGAAATTCAGTATCGAAGTAGGACCTCCTTCTGAGTCTACGTGCTCGCAACTGTGACTCCTACAAAGCGGTTACCTCACACTGTCACTCTCTCACTGTCTCACTTCCGGGTATTCACCGGCAGCAGTACAAGTACACACTAGGCGAGTTCACTTGTATAAAAAGGGGTGGACCCCTTAACAAAAAGCTAACTATGTCTCCATTTTAGTAAATACCAAACACTTCAGATTCTTCGACATACGGATCATCTATAACAAATTTCGTATCGGAGAAAAGGAAATTGAACATAGAATAGTCTACGCCAGAGATAGTTTTGCTCAACACTTCAAATTACTACAAAATAAAAACATCGATCTGAAAATTCGTGTCAGGTTCTTAGATAGTCTCGTCAAATCGAGACTTTCATATGGATGCCATGTATGGCGTCAAACCCGTTCAGAAATATCTAAACTGTCAGTTCTATACTTTCTCAAATCGATGATAATGAAAAAAAGGCTTTGAGAGATTAAAACCTGAGAGTCTTGGCAAAGATCACATTTCTTTGACATTGTGAACTGGTGCTACAGAGAATCTCAAACAAAGTTCTGTACCAAATAACAGAAACCACATTACTTGAGGACTACCAAAAGCGGCAACAACTAAAATGGACAGCACATGTAATTCGAAGAGAAAATAATAACAATGGCATTGACATTCGATACTAATTCAAATAAAAGGTTAGGAAAGAAGCCTTCATTGGTACTAGAAAGAGTGATAACAGCTTCTGGAATTGAAAACCTATTTCCCTGAAAAATTGTTTTAAAAAAAGATTGCATAAATTTCAACCGAAAGGAGTATTGACTGCTCGGTCAAATCATACTAAATGTTTCTTTGTAGAAAATGGTCATCTATCTATCTATCTATCTATCTATCTATCTATCTATCTATCTATCTATCTATTTTCATTTCTTTCTTTTTCAGACACTATCTATCTATCTTTTTATCTATAGACCTTTTCTTTATCTATCTATCAATTTTTATCTTTCTTTCTTTTTACTTATCTATCTATCTTTTCTTTATCTATCGATCTTTCTTTTTATCTATCTTTCTTTTTTTCATCTATCTATTTTTCTTTATCTATCTTTCATTTTATCTAACATTTTTCTTTTTATCTATCTATCTATCTATCTATCTATCTATCTATCTATCTATCTATTATCATTCTCTTTAACTATCTATCTATCGATCGATCTTTCTTTTTATCTTTCTTTTTATCTATCTTTCTTTGTTTTCATCTATCTATCTATCTTTTCTTTATCTATCGATCTTTCTTTTTTATCTATCTTTCTTTCTTTTCATCTATTTATCTATCTATTGATCTTTTTATATCTATCTATCTATCTATCTATCTATTTTCATTTCTTTCTTTTTCAGACACTATCTATCTATCTTTTATCTATCGACCTTTTCTTTATCTATCTATCGATTTTTATCTATCTATCTATCTATCTATCTATCTATGTCTTTTAATATCTATCTATCTATCTATCTATCTATCTATCTATCTATCTATCTACCTTTTCTTTATCTATTGATCTTTTTATCTTTCTTTTTTTCATCTATCTATTTTTTCTTTATCTATCTTTCATTTTATCTACCCTTTTTAGTATCTATTTATCTTTTCTTTATCTACCTTTTTATCTATCTTTCTTTCTTTTCATCTATCTATCGATCTATGATTTTATCATTCTTTCTTTTTATCTAGCTATCGATCGATCTTTTCTATATCTATCTATCGATCTTTCTTTTAGCTATCTTTCTTTTTATCAATCTTTCTTTCTTTTCATCTATCTATCTATCTATTTTTTTCTTTATCTATCGACCTTTCTTTTTATCTTTCTTTCTTTTCATCTATCTATCTATGTTTTCTTTATCTATCGATCTTTCTTTTTATCTATCTTTCTTTCTTTTCATCTATCTATCTATCTATCTATCTATCTATTTTTTTCTTTATCTATCGACCTTTCTTTTTATCTGTCTTTCTTTCCATCTATCTATCTATCTATCTATCTATTTTTTTCTTTATCTATCGACCTTTCTTTTTATCTTTCTTTCTTTTCATCTATCTATCTATGTTTTCTTTATCTATCGATCTTTCCTTTTATCTATCTTTCTTTCTTTTCATCTATCTATCTATCTATCTATCTATCTATCTATCTATCTATCTATCTATCTATCTATCTATCTATAATCCGTTCTTTCATTCTAATAATAATAACTCAAAGACGACTGTTAAAAAATACGTCACAATTTTACGCACATTAAGGCCAGTAGAATTTTGCCAAAAAAGTGCCCAAGTGATAACAAGAGCGACAATATTCAATAAATAAATAAATATTCAACTGACTTATCACGTGGACCGACTCCAGTGTTTCAAGTAAAGCCACTCGTTATGGTCAGATAGTTTAATAAATGTTGAAATCTATGATCCCCGTTTGTTTTTGTAGAGTATAAATATAAGGTCTAGTAATAATATCAGCAGACCATCTGATCTACACGAGTGGCTTGACGCGAATCACTGAAGTCGGTTAATGAGCTAAGTCCTTTGAATATTTATTGATTTATTTATTGAATATCTATCTTTAAAACATACATCGATCGTTTATTTCAATATCTCTGCATCTGTTAAGATAGTATAATATAAACATTAATATTTTTTTATGAAAATCAAATAACGAAAATTATAAACAAGACGAAAGTAGAATTAAGAACATTATCAAAAATGCACAACACCAGTTGACAATAGCAAAAAAATTAGATTAATTATTTATTATAAAAAAATTAAAACCTCTAAACTTATAGTTAAAAATAATAATTCACCTCTTAGAACAAAATTAAATAGGGCAGATATTATTTACAAATTTAAATGCCCATTAAGTAATTGCATTCCTGATCAAACAAAATTCGCAAATAATTATATAGGCCATACTAAACATGTTTGACACGAAGACTTACTCTACACCTTTCTGACCATAGCTCAATTAGATCTCATTTAAATACACATGGAGACCTACCGGACACTATTCGTAACATACTTGTTGACAACACAAATATAATAGCACCATCTACATGCAAAAAAAAAAAAAGCTAAAAATAATGGAAGCCTTATTAATAAAAACAAAAAAATACTTAATAATATTAACTATGAACATGGACACAATATCTTGACCGTGTTTTGAAAAATGAAAGCACTATATAAATACATAGATGCAACAAACTATTTCTTATTTAACAGTTAAATTATATAATCCTTGAAAATGGATAAATGTATAGCCGAAAGCGCTCGGATAAAAAGAACATTCGGACAGTTTTTATATAACTTATCATCTGAAAAGGGAAAAAAAAATTAAATCGCGTGAGAAATTGTATAAAAAACTAAATAAAAGCACCTTGACTGTTGTATTCAATGAAATGTCCATATATATATATATATATATATATATATATATATATATATATATATATATATTCTGTTTATACGTTATTTTTATAGATGCAATTTATTTAAATAAATGCTCAGTTTTTTTTTTTAATTAAAAAGTATTAATTAGACTTACCGACATGAATGTTTGAGAAATTTCGTAAAAAATATGGGTTATCCAATAAGAATCGAATCTGTATTCCTATACAGAAATCGACATTTGATCTTACGTGCGATACCATTTAGGTACAGAGAAGTGTCTGGTTAGAAAAGACCAAATTACTGTTTTTAAACCCAGTTTTTGATGATTTTTCTCGATAGATCATATCTGCGAAACGTAACTTAACGTAAACAATGACAGCATATAGGGAAATGGATTAAGTATTTAATATATTTTCTGTTTATATGCTATTTTTATAGACACAATTTTTAAGTAAATTCTCTGGGTTTTTTTATTTATTAAACAGTATCAATTACATTTACCGGCCTGAATGTTCTCCGACATATATATATATATATATATATATATATATATTACAGATATATTTTTTATTTCTACCTGATTTTTTACACACACACACACGCACACGCACACACATATATGTTCGTAATTGGATGTGTGTAAGTGTATTTTAATCATTTATACATATATATATATATATATATATATATATATATATATATATATATATATATAAAACAGTCTGGTGCCACTCACTGAGGACCTCTGTATTCACTTTTATGCATGTCTGTCTGTCCCTCTCTCTCCCTCTCTCTCTCTCTCTATATATATATATATATATATATATATACTTAGTAATTTTAATAGATTTTATAACTCACATTATTTCTTATTATTATTATAAACAGTATTTTTTGTGGATACTGTTATCTGAGTTGCTATCACTGTTTATTTTTAGTAAAGATAATGACAATCATCTGAGATTAAGAAGTCCGACTAAAGAAAGATTGCACCTTCGACAGGAATCGAACCTGTATCCCCTTTTTTCCATCAGGGAAAACGTTTCTATAGCTGAAACGCGCCTTTACAAATTGTTTTATCAACGCGGACTCTGTATTTCTCAGAATAATTGAATATATATCTCCCTCGCCCAACTCCAGGTAGGTCCTGCTACCTGTCTGTCCAGAAACACTTCCACATATTGAGGTCAGCTATTAGCGACAGTGTATCCATCAACGGATGGTTAGGCTTACAGCACCTTCTACAGCGGATGACATTAGCCAGGCACAACTTCGGTGTTGGGACGAGGACCGGTGTTTCAACTGTGTGCAAACTGAATATATGTTGTATATAACAAAGAGTAGTTTATACCGAAAATGGTTGAGCAGGGTATTTCTGAATGATAACATTTTTTAGGCAAGTTTTGAATATTGCTACCCCATTTGGTATTGTGGTTCTTCTATGTATTTAAGAGATTCCTTATAAAATACAAAGAAGAATCTACAATGTTATTGTTTCAGTCACTTTGTTACCGCTGTGACGTAGCTTTCCTCTGCTTTTTCTATAAATACTTTCATGGTAACTGTTCTGATGAACTTTCCTCTATGGCACCTAGACTTTATGAATTTAAACGCAGTACTAGATTGGCGGTAAGGTCTCATCATTTTATGGTTGAAATGGCTAGATGTAACCATAAGTTCTATGCTAACAGTTTCTTCTCTAGCAGATCTCGCACGTGGAACTCTCTTCCGGCTTCTAGCTTCCCAGTCAACTTTGATCTTCAAAAATTTAAAGGCAATGTCCATCATTATCTTCTGTCTTCTTAATTCCTGTTCTTTTATTGTTCTCTCACCTTAATAATGTTTTCCCGTCCGGGGTATGACGGTAAACTACATCGACGCCCTGGGTAAGACGATAAACTACGTCCAGCAGCAAGGCCTCTGATCAGGAGGTTTTGAGGAGCGTGGAAACACCTCTTAATTCCTAATGTTCCCAGGTCCACCCTGACCCGGGGTGGTAGCACCTGTTAGGGTCCCAGCTATGGGCAAATAGTTAACCTTAAAACTAGGGTCAAAACACTATGAAATTGTAAAAATAGGTTTTAATACCAAAAATACTCTGTAAAAAATTATTACCAGCAATAAATTTTTGAAGAAAAAAAAAACTATTACCAGCAATTCATTTTTCAAAAAAAATATTACCAAGAATACATTTTTGAAGGAAAAATATTACCAGAAATAGATTTTTGACAAAACAAAATATAACCAGTAATAAAAATTTTGTCGGCATTAAATAACCCATTGCGATTGATATGCCGTAAAACAAACCAAACTAAACTAATAATGTTTTCTTTTTTTCATATTCTCTCACACTCAGTAACCCCCTTGCGTCTTAGTGACTTTATTGCTTTGCTCGGCGTAAAATTTAAAAAAAGTAGCCTTTGTTATTAGAGTTGTTAATATCATGTGACAACCATTATTTCGATTGCGTTTCGCAAATTCTGAAATCTACTCATTCATATGATTTTCTTATAGCAGTGTAAACAATTATATATAAATAATATATATATATATATATATATATATATATATATATATATATATATATATAATGTATTAATAGACATTTTTTCTCTCATTTCATTGTTGGAAGTGTTTACCTGATGATCCGAAATCCTTTAAAAAGGATTTTGGTGAAATAAATTATTGTAATGGTACCTTAAAGTGGTCTGCTTTTCATTAAATATTAGCTCTGTTCTTCATTGAGCTCTCAGGATTTCATCCTCCTTAGATTTACCAATTCGGTTTACCAAGTTCTTTATAACTTATATATATATATATATATATATATATATATATATATATATATTCAAAAACTTTATTATAGTTCATACTCCCTACTTGAAATAGACGTCCTATTTTTATTTATTAAACAGTGTATTTATATTCATATTAGGACAAGTCGATTTTGGAACCGTGGTATTCCACTCAATTTGAAAGTTGAGGTTTGACACGATACATAACGATACGAAGCATTAATTCTAAATTCTTATCGTTTTTGAGGAAAATGAGTTAAGTTCAAAATCATAGCGTTGAAACTTAATTCCAGTGATCAGTGAAAGCCTTATAAAATTCATAATTTACTGAAGCTTCACAAATTGTATATGGACATGATGCATGGCACAAGCACATTATTTCTAAATCATCGTGCCATCAAATAAGACCTTCATTTACTTCAAATGGAAATTATAGTGAACAATTTAGATATATTATGATGTAATATATTATACAGTGTAGTAGTTTTAGTACGATTTTCAGTAAACTGTATAAATTTAAAACATTTTGTCGTATAATTTTTGCTCAGTAGTATTATAGTGTTATATACACTTTTATCTATTTTTTTTTATTTTTATTAATTATGATTTAACAAATTATCTAACAAATCTTATATTGTAATCGTTTACAATTTTTTTACACAGATTTTACCATCAAATACAGTAAAAAATTGTATATTTTGCTTGTGGTGATTCATAATTAGAATTTTGGTATGAATATATTTTCCATTCAATGGATCTAATACAAAAGATATCAACTTTATTTGGATTTATTCTTGAGATAGTAAAACTTTGAAGTCTGCTTGTCAGCAAAAACCTGCAGAAATTAGGTTTTTCTGTACATTTTTCAGGCGATTTTTAAAACTAAATACTCAAAAATTGCTAAAATCTGTGAATCTAATTTTTGGCGTCAGTACTTATCACATCAAACCGCAGCTTTCACGATGAGTGCAATGTTGATTTTCTAAAAACGTAAAACATCATCCTGCCCTATTATATATGTTTGTACTTGTGTGTGTTAAAGTGTGGAAACAGGGGTGAACACTGAATGGCGACAATCTACTTCAAGGTTGAACGCAACTTCGGGCTATGTGATTCGGATACGAAAAACACATGACATACAAATTTCGTGTACAGATGTCTTTTTTCCCCCTTTTTTGCTTTTATTATATAGATAAAATAATGTCCATCGGAATTGTATATATTCATTGTTAGGAAATATAACAATTGTGACACAAGGCCAAGGGGAAAGTGAAGAAAGGATGGTCTACACTATCCTAAACCTAACTAATCCGATTCAATACCGGTCTATTGGTTACAATTTGCTCATTCACCACAAGAACTCATCCATCACCATTCAATCCGACATATACCACAATACCACATATTCACAGGGATCCTACAAAAACGCCTATGATATAAAAATTTCGTATATATATATATATTACAGATATTTTTTTTTATTTCTACCTGAATTTTTACACACACACACACACACACACACACACACACACACACACACACACATATATATATATATATATATGTTCGTAACTGGATGTGTGTAAGAGAAAAAAAGGGATATTTGGTATATACTAATTATCCCTTTTTTTCTCTTTTCTTATAAAATTAGATAAAATAATATCCACAGGAAATGTCTGAAAAACACTTCCCCTCACCAGTTTGCATGCTGGGATTTCTTCTTAGCCAATAAGTCAGGCCGTTTCTTGGTTTCGTCTGACTCAGTCCCAGTCTGTCTTGTCTTAAAGTCAGAACGCTCCGAATTTGCTCTTGTGTGTCAATGTCAATTCTTCGTTTGTTAACTGTTTTCCATATTACTGTTGCTTTGCGTTGCATATATAATTTGCTTGTTTTATAGTATTTCTTACCCTCTTCTTTTCTTTTTCTTGTTTATATTTATTGCAAACTTTGTCAATTCTGTTTGTTGGTCAGTTCTGTCATTTGTTTACATTTAACCATGGCCACTTCAGTCAGTTATGTGCCATGCGTGATACACGCTTAAGTGATCATGTATCTTTCGATACCTGACTGACGAGGCATGTTTTTTCCCGCAGTAGGTTGCATGTCTTTCTGCAGTAGATCAGTTGCCATCCAAGGCTAAAGAACCCGGTCTGTCCTGCTATTTGCCCATAGCTGGGGGGGGGGTAAGAAGAGGATTCATAGCTTTCCCAAAGGTATTAGCATGTAAGTGAATGTAACGGATTCGACTAGAATTCGAACTTGGCTCTCCGATTCCTCAATCCGAGCCGCTATCCATTACTTACTCTACAATAAGACAAAAAATGGCAGAAAAGAAGAGGAAGAGGAAGGGTATATAAAAGACGAAAGAGAGAAGAAAGAGGAAAATGGGGTTTAAGTAGAGGAGAAAGAGGAAGAGAGGAGAAAGAGGTGAAGAAAAGGAAGAGGAGAAGAAAGAGGACGGTGGGGTGAGAAGAAAGAGTAGAAAGAGGAAGAAGAGAGGACGAGAAAGAAGAATAAGAGAAATATGAAGGAGAAAAGAAAAAGAAAGAGGAAAAAGAGTAGAAAGAGGAGATAGAGTTTAGAGATAGACGAAAAGGGGGAGAAATACGAAAAGGAGGAAGAAGAAAAGAAATAGAAAAAGGAGGAAGAGGAAATGATGGAGAAGAGGTGGACAAAGTAAAGAGGGGAAAAGAGTAAGAGAAAGAGGAAGAGGGAGTGAAAGAAGAAGAGATAGGGGAGAACCAGTCATTGTTATCCGAGAAGTTAACATTATTGAGTTGCATAAATTCCCTCTGATTATATCGTCTGGTTCAAGGCCACATTTTCGGAAGCATCCGTTTATGACCTTTTATAATTATTGAAGGGTAATGCAATTGTGTAAAGTTGTATTGGCCGAAAAGGATCTAAACTTAGTTCTGTAAATTTTACAAGTAAATATAACACAATAGAAAGAAACAGAGAGCTGGGAGGAAGAGTGAAAGGAAAAGAAGAGATAAAACAATAGAAGGATGAGGAGAAGAAAAATGTGGAAGAGGAAAAAGATGAAATGTACAGTTAGTTAAAGGCCGTTAATCGTTGTATTGCGATTGGTTGTTATTTTTCATCCCCCTCTCTGTTATTCTTTCCTCTCCCCATTTTCTCCTACCACCTTTCACATTCAACCTGTTTAAGTTGCTTTCATTTTTACACTGCTTTTGTTTTCTTTCTTTTTAATATTTCTTATACAGAGCTCCCCCCTCCTTCTCCTCGCCGTTGTTGTCGTCGCCATCTTTCTCATCTTTCTTTCCTCCTCCTCCTCCTACTCCGCCTTCTCTTTTTTTCTGTGGATTTTTTACATATAATAATCTATACAAAGAAATAGAGTAAGAGAATTTGTAGGAAAAGAGACGAAAGCGAGAAGGATTATGAAGAGGAAAAATATAGTAGGGGAAAAAGCTGAAATGTAGGTTCAGTTGCTAATAATTAGTACTATTAATTAATTTCTTCCTCGGAAACAACTGTAACAGATTTCATTCTCTTTTTCCTTTTTTTTTTCCTTTCTTCTCTTTTTCTTTTCACCTCCTCCCATTCTTTCGTCTTGTCAGTGTAGAGATATTTTGCTGTTGTTTTATTATTACTATTATTATACTTTTCAGGTTACCGTAAAAGTATCAGCGATGATGATCAATTGAGAGAGAGAGAAACGAGCGATATTGTAAGCTACTTGCAAGGGTGATAACTCTTGATCGCTTTTTAGAGCAGGATTCCAATTGGTCTGTTTTGTTTTGCGACACGTATTGTCATTTGTTCAGACCAAATTCGATCATTAACTTCACGTTAGAGAGCAATCTCACATATTTATTTATTCATTGCACAATAACAACGCCAAAGCACAAAAACAACAGGATAGAAAATATGGACTTTGCTGTAAGTTTTTCTTCGCTGCTACTGTTTTCTGCCATGTTCATTTGGCGACCTATGCAGTGTGATGATATGGAAGAATATTCGAGACCTGAGAATAAAATTCTAATGAAAGCAGGTAAGAATTTTTTTTTTACAAATTACCCTATTTGACGGCATATAAGACGCACCCCAATTTCAGCTGGGCTAATCAAGAAAAAAATTAGTAATTAGTAAAATTATTAGTAAATGGTACAGCCATTAGTAATTAGTAAAATTATTAGTAAATGGTACAGCCTCGGCTATATTTATGAGGTATTATTTTGATTAAACAAGCCATATTTATAATTAAATAAAAAATAATAGGAAAAAAGAATACGACCCTATAAAAACTTTATTATATCCTTTATATGATCTGTACAGCCTGCGTCTTGTAAACGTCTTAGTGGAATAATTAGGATATAAAAATTTTGATTGTATTTATGTCATTGCAACCGGAAGTTATCGTAAGAAAAATATTAATGAAACAAATATATTTTACAAATATTTAATTTGTTGCATATAATTTTAGTGAAACAAAGTACTAATATTAAACGTGATGAAATTAATATAATGAATATTATCAATGATAACACTTTTAATCTGCATAATAGCCTTTTAAATATTGACAATATGTATATAAAAGTTACTCTAAAGTCTATGCTAATACGAGTTGCCATGTAGCTAATTTCGGCCGACTATCGCGAATTTTAAACCTGCATATGACATATAAGACTCAGGGGAATATTAAAAGATATTTTTAGCAAAAAACAAAAAAGTGTACCTTATATGCTGTCAAATACTGTAATCCCTTGTGGGGCGCATGGTCTGTTAAACACGAGAAGCGATTTTTAACATAAAGCGTTCTTTTTATAACACGTTTAGTGTTAATTTTTTTAAGCTTATATCGATCCGTGAAAAAATAAGTTTCCTTTGCGTGTGCCTGTTTCGGTTTTAAGTAATATTAAAATGTTAGTGTTGTGTACGATACACCTAATTTACATAAGTGGAGTACCGACCATATAAATATGGGTTGGTACCGGAAGACGAAAAAGAGATAGTAAGAAGACATCGAATCCAGAGACTCTGCCCGACTGCGATTTAGTCAACCCATTATGCAGGAACAGTCTTCCCAAGAATATACCAAAACTAACGGTAAATATTGTGTACCCTTTCCTTGTTTCAATACATTTTGTTAACGTACATTTTGTGTTGTATTATTATTATTCCATGCTTATCCAAGTTTCAACAGTTAGTATGTACGAAACTACTAAAACAAAACCTTCTATTCTGAGGAAAGTGGAACAGATACACGGATCATGATAGAGCAAGTTTTTAGGTACAAAATAACTATTGTTTTTACAGTACCGACCACCGGCTTTACATTTTCACCAGCGTTGAACCCGCATGTCACATTCGTAAAATTTTGGACCAGTGGTGGAGTATCACTTTTTTCAAATAATTGTTTGTTCCAAGCGCTTTCGGATAATTTGTGAGCCATTTTAAAGGATGTTTGCTATTGTAAATGGTATACAAGTTGATAAACGATTGAAATGTCTTTAATTCCTGAATACGGCTAGTACACTTTGTCCGTGTTCGCAGTTGATGCCATTAAGAGTTTTTTTGCTAAGTGTGTTTTTTTTTTCAATTAGTTTTAGACGCTTTTTGCATTTAGAAATGCCTATTACATTTGTGTTCTCGACGTGCATGTTACGTATCAAAGTTGGTAAGTGTTCATTCCAGTTGAAGAGAAAGCACCCGGAACACACATGAAGTCTGAAAAAGAAATCTTTAGTTCGCATACAAAAAATACGATAATAATTAGTTAAAATAAACTCTTTTTGAATTAAATTTTTTAAAAGAAACTCATTTTAGATTGCTGTCCGAATACACAACTTTCTGTGCACACACACACACACACACACACACATATATATATATATGTGTCTAAAAATATATAGAAAATAGGAAAGAACTCGTTATGTAAATAATCATATTTTAGATAAATAATTATACACACACACACACACACACACACACACACACACATATATATATATATATATATATATATATATATATATATATATATTCATACACGTTTCATTAAATAATATAGACAAGTGTTGTCTGTTTATTTTATGTAAATTCTTTTCATAACGTCTGATAAGCTTAATAACATTATCATTAAACGAAGAAAGAAAATCACAATATTGATCCATATTTTTTAATCCAATCTAAGCTTTCGGCTTACATAAGCCATTATCAAAGATGTCAATTACTGTACAATATATTAAGCAATATACTGACAAGACAGTGATAATAATCTGTTATAGTTTACATGGATGATTTCCTAACAACGATAAACACGTGCATATAAGAAACTAAAAGCGAAAATCGCACTGCATTTCATGACGATATTCAGTCAAACGAGGGTATCATGTGGCACAAGACCTTTTTAAAGTGGGATCTCCGAGCCCGTGGGCTCGGCCAAAAATTTGCCCATTGAACCCGTATAAACGGGTTCAGGGTCGGTTTACCTCCCCGAAAGAGAATCCGCCCTTCGGCGTAGCCTCTTTCGGGTTCCTCCCCGCCCGAAGGCAGAGAGTTCAACCGATCAGCCGGAGCTCGTTCGACTGATCGCATTTCATGACGTCTCACATGCCTACGCGAGAGTGAATTCGAGAAGTATGGAGTATGGGAAGCCGTTGGTATATATATATATATATATATATATATATATATATATATAAAACGCTATTTTTAGTTGATAGTAGTATTTGAGTAGATGCCCCGTTTATTTATTAAGCAGTAGATTTATTTATTTTAGTCTACCAGCCTAAATATTCGAGAAATCTTATAAGAGATAAATATGCGCTCTCCGAAGAGGAAACCGTCATTGGATCTAACGTACTTTGGCCTTTCAGCTACAGAATGTATTTATGACCAAGCAAAGCTGAATAGTGACTGAAAACACAGATTTTTCTCTCACTCTTTAAATAGACATATTTCTTCAGTTTCGTATCCTAACGTAAACAAATCAATTTTTAAAGAAAAGGAATAGAGTTTTTACTAATTCATTCTTATTACTTAAACGTTATTTCTAGTAGATACCAGAATTTGAGTAGACGCCCTGTTTATTTATTAAACAGTATATTTATTTTCATCTACCGGCTTGAATATTCGAGAAATCATATTACAGAAAAATATGGGGTCTCCTACGTGAACGCAGGTTCGAATCCTGCTGGAGAGCGTATTTTTCTATGTTTAAACGTTAACTTCAACACATATCTGCATTTGCTGTACCATTTACTCTGTAACCCTTTAACTTGAGTGATGCTTCGTGAATATCATTGTAAAACAAAAAATACAACAACCTCATTCAGTAACAGTCTATTTTGAATGGCTCTTGGGCCTTATATTGAGTAAACATTATTAAAAAAAATGGCGTTACTTTCTTAATGTTAGTTCTTATTTTAAGTACTGTTCATTTATTGCACGCCCTGTTTCCACTGAGTCAAAGTACACACTTTTCCACTGCTCATGTCTAGGGATATCTTATCTAGTTCTTATCTTTAGTACTTCTCATTTATTGCACGCCCTGTTTCCACTGAGTACAAGAACCCACTGCCCGGCCCAACGAATGAAATCACAATTGCTATGTCACCAAATTCACAAACGATTTCTTCTATTAGGCTAAAAACTAGACGAGATATACCTAGGCATAGGCTGTGGAACGAGAACAGTCTAACCTCGTAGATTAAATAAAGGGTTCAGTTATGAATTCTCTGTAGGTTACCCGGATCAACAGACACCTGATAAAACGCCGGAGAGCACAACGGCCGAAACGTTGTGATAACAACAACAAAGATGAAGACAATAGTTCGCATGCAAGTAGTGTAAACGATCAAGAGAAGCGCTTAAGATGCAGGAACGTTTACATTTCAATTTTTAATTTCTGGCGTCTGACATGTCTAGACGTACTGCCTAGCCGATTTCATTCCCGTCATCTAAAGTTAATTGTGTTAAAGTTGTTTAATCTTAAAAATATGACAAAAACATTTTTCCTTCCTAAATTTTTTTGTTGCTCTTTACATTAACATGTTTCGAAGTGAAGGTGGCTGTTGCATTAATTAAATAATTGGCTATGGTGGTTTCAATGATTCCATGCACACTGTGGTCTATATCTATTGTGAGAAGAGTTAAAAGTTATTTCTTTCTATGAATTGTTTGAAATTGATAAGATCTAGATGTAAATGAAATAAGAGGCTATGGAGGTTTCATAAATCATTTGAGAAAACTACTGGACTGTTATATAATACTAGTCCTCCTTCATGACAGTAAATGCTTGACAATCTTCTCACAGATGAAGAAGAGACTTGAAGCAACAGGAATGTATTTTTACCTAAAGAAGCTGAAGATAACATGGACCGAACGATGAAGTTTTAGAGAAAATAGAAACAAAACGCTAACTTATACTTAACATCAAGAAACCACAATTGAAGTTTCTAGAACACATTATGAGGAAAGAGGGCTTAGAAAATTGGATGCTCACAGGACAGATTGAAGGCAAGAGAGAGGAAGACAATACGTAATCTACCTAGAAAGCATGAGTAAATGAATGGCGGAACAAGGTTTAAGGGAGATAATAAAAAGATTAAATTTGTTAAGAGCTACAAAGGATAGGATATTGTGGAGAGCGATGATCGCCAACGTCCTGAAGGGACAGGACACACAGACGAAGAAGACTACTTCATTGCACATTGCCTATCCTTAGTGAAAAGGTAAAGGTTTTCTTTATTGCTCTAAACTGCTCCGAATTACGAAACAAGCATTAGTAAATAAGTGGTTATAATGGTCCTTTCATTCAGTTGAGGTAAGATTACAATGATGTATTCCTTTTGAAAATGTCATTACACTACTCAACATTGAATTTCAACGTGTACTTATGGTGTTTCTTTTTTGTCTTGTTTCTTATTTTTATTAACCAGTGAACTGTAGCAGAAATTTCGGTCATTCACATTTGAACGATAAATTTTTCTAGAGTTAAATGGATTAAGCTTTTTAATCTTAGTGTTAATACAACGCTAAGCTAGTGCT